CAACAAGGTTGCAGATGCGTTGTCTAGGAGGGCAGACTACCTASKTGCGYTGATTTYTGAGTTTGGTTTGGYTGAGGATGTGACTCRATCGTTGGGGGRAGCCTACAAGGAAGACCCCATCACGATGGACATCATTAACAAACTTCAGGCCAAAGATAAGGCCACCACTGACGAGTTTGTTATGGTGGATGGGTTACTCTTTCTTGAGAAGGCAGGGTTCAAAAGGTTAGTTGTTCCATCTAGGGAAATTTTGCGTAGTTTATTTTTAGGAGAGTGTCACGACGCAACGGGACATTTTGGCTACAAGAAGACTAGTGCTAATTTAGTGCAGCGATTCTGGTGGCCTGTCTGGTCTGTCAGCGGGACAAGCCGCGAACTCAAGCTCCACTTGGGTTACTCAAGCCTCTACCCATTCCTGCTGGCCCAGGGCAGAGTATCTCCATGGACTTCATGGATACTCTTGTGACCAGCAAGAATGGCAAGAGGCACAACGTTATAGTGCATAGGTTCACTAAGTACGCTAGACTAATCGCCATGCCAGAAACTGCCAGGACTGAGCACGGCATCAAGTTGTTCATGGACAACTGGGTGCGTGACTTTGGACTTCCGAAAACGATTGTTAGTGATAGAGATGTACGTTTCACAAGCTAGATGTGGAAGAAGGCCGTTGAACAGATGGGCAGGCTTCATATGACTTCTGGGAATCATCCCGAAGCAAATGGGCAGGCTGAACAGATGAATTGAGTGGTGCAGCATCTGCTGAGGCATCAAGCCCAGCCAGGATGACTGGGATGAGAAATTACCTCTCATCGCCAGCCTGTACAATAACGCTGTACACAGCACCACCGGCGTCAGTCCTAACCAACTGCATCTGGGGTGGAAGCCTAGATCTGCTCTAGACTTCCTCCTGCCTGAAAACCGAACTGTCGCAACTCCTGGAACCATTGAATTTGGTGTCCAGTATGAGAAACTGTTGCAGCAGACTGTCGAACACATCAAGAAATCTCAAGAAGTCATGATTGCTTCTGAGAACAAGCGTCGCCGACAGTCCACATTTCAGGTAGGGGAACGTGTCTGGGTCAAGGCTAGTGAGATGGGACAGGAGTTTGGCATCTCTAGGAAACTAATGCCTCAGTATTTCGGTCCCTGGGAAGTCCTGGACATTGTGGGGAATGATTTGGATGGTCCCTCGTACGTCGTTCGTATCCCTGGTCACTTACGCACTTACCCTGTTTTTCACGCCTCCAAGCTTGCACCTTTCGCTGAGACAGCACAGTTCCCATCACGGAGATCTACGCTGCCCCCAACCATGGACGGTCACGTCGACGTCGATGATATTTTGGATCACAGAGATACGCCTGTTCCCAAGCCAACTGGCAGAGGAAGACCTCCAAAACCTGCAAGGGAGTACAAATAGTGGCAGATTATGAGAAGAGACTGAAGAGGAAGGCTCCAGCATGAAGCATCTCAGCGGACTTTCGAAGCTAAGGGGGATGGAATGTGAGGAATGAGGCGTCAAGGAGCCCTATCAGACATTGCATGTTCTGGGCCAAGGCCCCAGCAAGCCAAGTGCCCGCCCTAAGTGAAGGCGGGCCTGAATATTCGTCACAGGCCAAAATTCAACAATTTCCATATGTGGGTATTCAGGCTCTCGCTGCGCGTTAGTTGGTTGAGTGAACGCGCGAGCCTCACTAAGCTGCGTCGTACAGTTGGCCCAGGCCACGAAAGTTGCGCCTGGGCACATACACACAAAGCAGGGCCGATACATTGAGAAGCAGGCTGTCGGCCTTGGGAAAAGCAGTGCTGCCGACGCATCTACCTGGGGGCCCTGCGCAGATACAGCAAACAGCCAGGCTGTGCCCAACTGAGAAGGGCCCAGGCCCTCAACTGTAAGTCTCGGGCCTGGGCACAGGGTCTGAGGCCCAACCGGAAGCTACTGGAAGCTTCCAGCCAGGCCAGTCACAGCATCCAGCACGCTGCCACTTCCATAAAGGAAGTAAGGCAGCCCAGGCCAGCCATTCTGGCCAGTGCTGGCAATGCGGAAGTGCTGCTGCGCTCTCGCTTGATGCTGCACTGCTGCCAAGGGCGCTGACAAGGCGCGAGAGGTGAGGTGGGGCTGCAGGGCAGCGAGGCGCTGGCAGCCATAGACGGGCTGCTGGGCGCCAGGGGGTACAGCGGATGATCTTGCGGCCTTCAGGGAAGGAGGCACTGTGTGGGGTAATCAAGGTCTGATTGAGGGTGACGAGTTACGTACCTGGTACATGAAGAGAGGTCGGCGATGGTGTTGGCAGTCATGTACATTGGTCTTGGAGAGTCGAAGTGATCCTGTTGCGTGAACCGGCTGTAGGTAGGCTAGTCAGGTGAGTAGGCTGGGCGTCGAGCGCCAGACAGGAGAGAGCGACTTTGGATACTGTGTTGGTGTGGCCTACGGGCTTGGACATTGGCCCATTACTTCATTGTATTGCTCTATATGGATGGTTTTCTCGGTGCATTTGTACTCTCTGCTTGGGACACGACTACTTGCTCAGCTGTGTGATTTCGCAACTTGGTTTTATGTATATAGCTCACACTCATATTCCTTGCAAAAAGAAAAAACACCAAGTGGCACCTTGCTCATGGTGCGAGTTTGAAATGGCAATTTCAGTCAACATAGATCCCCCCCCCCGCCCCCCCCTGTCTCCCCTTTACCGTCTGGCACCACGGCCCGCCCCTGTAGTTATGACATCTGTGCCTCTGTTACGGCCGCGGTGCTTCCAAGGCCTTTTCCAACTTGGTGGCTGTTTGTTTCGCCAGTGCGTTTTTTTTTTGCCTATTCGGAACTCGTTTTTGCCGCGGCCACTGTTGCCCCTACTGGTATTTTCCTTCTTCTCCACAGTTGATCTTGCGGTCCCTCCAAACGATCCTTTTTGCCAATTTGTATGTGTCCCCCCCCTCCCTCTTCCCTCCCCCCCCGTCTTCTACTTGCTTCCTCCCCCCCCTTCTCAGGCATAGATCTTGCAGTCTCCATTGAAAGCAGCAAGGAGTCTCGAGGAAGACCAATGGCAAGTAAGCAAGGAGTCTCAGCCCCAAGAGGAATGAAGCAGAGTTCTTTCCGGTCCACAAGCAATCAAGCAGTCCCATAACTGAGAGTAGGCCAAGGATGGGACTGCTGGTCTTGGTCCCACTGCCATGAATGGATGGATATGGATGGATGGATGGACAAATGGATTTTGTTGTGGTCTCTTTTTTCTTTTTTCTTGTCTTGGTCTGGCTTGTCTCACGAGTAAGGTTGTTGCTGCGTCTAAGGGCATGCTCGCAGTGGGACTTCTCTGGATGCATCTGACCGGAGTTACGGCCTGATGTGGATATATCTGGCCGCAATTGCATCCAGAGGTCGGTCAAAAAAGTTAGTGCGACTATGCTTCAAGACTGTTCCATTGGTCCCATTGAATAATAATAGTCATGTGGAGAGAGTGAGACATGCAGCATGCCCATGGAATAGTAATGTGGAAACAGTGGGACACGCAGGAGTCCCATTGAGTTGAATAATAATGTGGAAACAGGGGTGCGAGCAGGAGTCCTGTTGAGCAGTAATGTGGAAGCAGTGGGACAAGCAGCAGTCCCGTTGGACAATGATGTAGAAACAGTGGGACAAGCAACCCCATGGGACAAAGATCTGGAAATGGGTGCGGCAAACAACAGTGTGAGACAACCAGCTGTCCTCTATGGAAGAACAATCTAGAACGAGTGTGGGGCAAACAGCAGTCCCATGGGACAAGGCACAGTCCAACTGGTCCCTTGGAAAGCAGTCAGGGCACACGCAGGCTGATGTATAGTTCCTGCAGAAGGTCCATGCCTTGCTGCTGCCATTTTGTGCCGTCCTCTCATTATGCAATTGCGACCGTTACGCTCTTACTCTGTACTTTATCAGAAAATCCAGATCTATTCAGGGGGCAAACAGGCTCTGTACAGACAAAAAAACGAATTTTGTCTGTGTGGGTTGGAGTGTGTTGCAAGTTTTTTGGGCTAGTCAAGGGGCACAGCCCGCACGCTACCATCATCCCCCGAACAGAACGCAAATGGGTTGTACTGCAGTTGTGGAAAAAAAATCAAATAGAATGCATATGCGTTATATTTGAAAACGAGGGCTGTGCGAAAAGAATGCATATGCGTTGCTTTCAAATAGAAAGCAACGTATGCGGTGCTTTGGTTTACAGCGCATATGCGTTATGTTCGGGGGATGACAGCAGCCAGAGATTGTTTGCTAAGTCAACGTTACACGCTGGCTCAGTCAGGAGGCGAGGCGTATGATCAGCTAGCTGGGCTATAGTTGGCCTACAGTTGTATAACTGTCCAGCTCCCGTCTTTACTTGACCACAACACACCCTTATTGCCAGACAAAACGAACCCTTATCATGACTGTCTCAGGTTGGAAAGACAGCTTGTATACGTTCATGATGGGGGCGCATTGTGTTCGGGGGAAGGGGAAGATGGTTTGCTATGATGAGTGTACCAAGAAGTTGGTGCCTGGGGAGTCTGGGGAAGCTATGAACGCCTGTTTCTGGGTGTACCATTTGCGCTGTGAGTCTGTGTTAAACTGGACCGTGTGTGAAGAACGAGCAAAATGTGTCGTAAAAAGAACAGAAAAGGAAACGCTGACTGCGGCTGTTGAAAATCTTTACTCTGTATTTGCAATGCTATAATCTTCGGCTGTGCACTTTGACTTTCTATTGTGTGTCCAGACTCTGATTAGATGGAGGAAGGTCTCAGGTGATCCTTCCTCTGCACTCGAAACAACCAATACCAACTTTCCATAGCCATCGATTCAATACCTCCATGGGCCGAAAATATGTACGTCTGTGCAAATCACTGGTGTAGTGGAATGGACCCCTTGGTCGCTCTGATGCTCGCAAGACTGGTCTGCACAGGTAGCTATACATGAATGTGTGTTGTTGTGGATGTAGAGAAATTTTAATTGCTAGGTGGTGTTTGTGTGTGCATGTTGGTTGTGGCACTTGCAGTGTGGATTTGGTTTGAAGGTTGTGGTTTGGTTGATTGGCTGAGGAGGAGGGGCGGGCAGGTCGTAGCAGGTGAGGGGGAGGGGGGTGTTTGTGATGGAGGGGGCTGCAGGAGAAGCAGACACATGGGAAGCAGCGATGGACGGCGGCGTTGGGCAGGCGAGAAGAGGAGGAGAGGCGGGAGGAGAAGAGCTGAGAGGAGAAGAAGAGGTGGGAGGAGGGCAGGCTGGCCACACTGAACAAGGGAATGTTATGATGGAGGAAAGGGCAGAGGGAAGTCCCTCGCCTGCCTGGGAAGGTACTGCCGTGGAGCAAGAAAGAGAGCAAATGGAGCGAATCCGTCAGTTGGATATGGAGGAGCTACAGGTGGAAGAGGCGAGTTCGGAGTCCAGTGAAGGGGTCTCGGAGAGTGATCATCTATTGGGTAGTTTTGCGGGGGGAAGTGGTGGCAGCATAGAAGATGGGTACGAAGCTGGATCAGGTGCGGCGGTGACATTCGACATGACTCTGCCGACGCTGCATACGTATCTTGGAGAGGTCGACGATGTCGCTGCCGGTGGGCGTGCATATGCCGAAGGTGGTGCTTTGTTGACACTCCCAGTGTTCTACTACGAAGGAATCGTTCTATTTCCGGGGGAACGGATGCCTCTGATCATTCAGCCGCGTCACAAGGCGGCGGTGGAGCGCGCACTTGCATCACAAGAGTCAGAAGGAGCACACACCATTGGCATTGTACATGTTAGAAGAGGTCTTTCCCCGTCAAGAGTGATGACTATGGTCGGTACCACTGCTGAGATCCGTCAGCTTCGGTATCTTGAAGATGGCTCTTTGAGGCTTGTAACGAAAGGGAGGCAGAGATTTCAACCGCGTCGTGTTTGGGCAGAGCCTGGCGGTGTGTATGTTGCACAGGTGCAGATCATCAATGACGATGTGCCGCCCAAACTACCGTCTGCAGCGTTTGGCCGTCTTGCAGCTGTCCCACAGATACATAGCGGCAAGTTTAAGAGATTTCGGAGCCCAACAATATCTGATCAAGGAGTACAGAAGAGTCGAGGAGTATTTGGGGCGATCTCCCAAAATGATAGTAAAAGGGTTAGAGCTGGAGATAGCAGTAGAGGAGGGACAAGCTTGTCTGCGAGCAGTAGTGGAAGACTTGGAAATGGTTGGCACTACTTGAGGAGGGAGGAAGGGTTAGATGCTGGGCACGGTGATGATGATGGTGGTGATGATGATGTTGGTGATGGTGGTGATGATGATGATGAGGAGGAGGACGACGAAGCAGAAGCAGAAGCAGAAGCAGAAGCAGCAGCAGCAGCAGCAGAAGAAGAAGAAGAGAGAAACCAGAGGAGGCAGAGTGGAAGTTTGACAGTCGGTAGGTCGACCATCGCCACAGAGGATGCAGGTAGTGAGGAGGAGGAGGAGGAAGGGGGAGTTGGTCCTAGTAGACGTAGAGTGGGAGATGATGGCGATGGTGCCACAACTGCACTTCCTGATGAAGAGAGGAGGACTTGGCGGCGCTTATGGTGGCAATCCGGTGGGATGGGTCGGAGAGAACTGGTGGGAAGGGAGGGAGGTATTGATAGGCTTGGGGGGATGATGAGGCAGGGTTTTCGTTTGTTTGGGGGGTTTGGTTGGGGGCGAGTAGGGCACAGGAGAGCGGGTGCTGGCCGATGGGACTATATCGGCGAGGAAGATGGTGGGGGTCTAACAAGCCGGAGGCGTTCGGGTGGGGTATCAAGAAGTGGCAGAGAGGAGGAAAGTGCAGGACGTGCTGCGGTTAGGTGGGCGGCGAGCGAGGCATGGAAGCTTGATGCTCGCAAGAATCGGCTGCGCCCGCAGCTGTCCGCGTGGCCGTATTGGGTTTACCGACTCCATGATGCATATGACCTTGCACGGCGGGCAGCTGACATGTTGTCTGAGTTGTTTACGGTCAATGTGGCAGACGAACTGATCGCGAACCCAGAGGCATGTTCATTTTTTGTGGCAAAGAACTTGCCTTTGCAGGACTCTATACGGCAGGAGTTGCTGGAAATGGATGGGGCCGTGAAACGACTCTGGCGAGAGATTCGCATCATGGAAGGTTTGGACTTGATGAAATGCAGGCAATGCCGTGCGGTTATTGCCCGCAAGAATGATGTCTTCGTCATGTCAACGGAAGGCCCAATCAGTACGTTTGTTAATGCTCACGGGTGTGTTCATGAGACAATGACACTCCAGAGAGCGACTGGTCTCGAGTTGGAGGGCGAGCCAGAAACAGAGAATAGCTGGTTTCCTGGGTACGCATGGACTATAGCACACTGTGCGAGATGTCGAACACATATGGGCTGGCGCTTCACTGCAGTGCAGCAAGGACTTCTGCCAAAGTTCTTCTGGGGAATACGAAGATCGCAACTCGAGAATGCTACGAGAGGGGAGGCTTGTTAGTTGCTGGCCGGCAGCAGAGGGGGAGGTACGTTGGCAATTAGTGGGTGGGAATGAAACCATTTGGGCCTGGCCATCCATGTATAGGGAAGATGTCTGATGACCATCATGGCCGTAACAGCCAATCCTAAGTGCTTTTCCTTTGCAGAAAGAATATGTACAGAAGTGCACGTGGGTGTGTGTGTGTGTGTGTGTGCACGCGTGATGGTTCACTGGAGGGGAGATAGAGGGTGGGGAGAGGAAGTGGGGGTGGAGGAAGGTTCACAGAAGATGTTTGTTGATTGGAAGTTGGAGCTATGACAGCTGTCAGTGAAGAAGATGTGGGCTGCCTGTTAAGCCTGCAGCCTATCTAGTGAAAGATATGTGATAGAGTGAAGATGATGTGCTAGATACCGATACATAGTAGGAGGCCATTTGTAGCGTTCTGTATGTGTAGTAGGAGAATAAGGATTGAGCGCTGCTGTCTAATAATTGTAGTAGTTCAAGAGAAGCTCTCTGTCTCTGTCTGTGTCTGTTTCTCTCTCTCTCTCTCTCTCTCTCTCTCTCTCTCTCTCTCTCTCTCTCTCTGTCCGTTTGTGTTTTCGTTTTTGTTTTGTTTTCATATTATGTCTTTGTATTTTAACTTTTGTATGCTGATGTTTCTTGGAAGACAAGCTGGATCAACTCGTAAGGACAGAAACAATAGCTTTGCGTCCCTTTCTAAGCCGGATGGAGCTTTGTGATACGGAGTCTCAACGAGTGCCCATGGAGGCTAGAAGTGGATGTAGGGAAGATTGGTGGCACATAGTCGTAGGCCTAGAAGAAAGGATGGCATGGTCTGGAGGGAGCACTCGGCACTCTGTGAAGAATGATGGGTTCAGAGGAAAACGATTTGTTTTCTCGTCCCATCAGTGACAGAAGCTGCACAGGTCGCCGTGCCGGAAAGTGATGCATACAAACAGAAGGGACGGACTTTAGCAGCAGTGGTCCTGTATCATCTTGTGCAAAAAAATCAGCCAGCCAGGTGGGATGGCTGGGGCTTAAACCACCGACCAGTACATGGCCCTAGGCAACTGGAGAACCTGTTTAGAGTCTCTCCGAAAATTTCGGAGGCTGAGCGCTGTAGATAAAATGAATCGGCGGCGGGTGGCCGCTGAAAGGGGCCCGCGGGTGATAGCTGGCATGGACTGGTGCGTTAACACTGAACGCGCTGCAGTCTCGAATGTGTGAGCATTTTGGATGTTAAGAGTGTTAGAGTGTAGCATGAGAAATGAAGCTGTTAGAGCCTAGAGGTGTACTTCCTGGTTGTACGACTTTGGTTGTGTGTACATCAAAAGAGAGAGAGAGAGAGAGAGAGAGAGAGAGAGAGAGAGAGAGAGAGAGA